GTCAAAGTTTAAAATATGGCACCCCCACAAGAATTTGCAATGAATGTCTACCGCGATAAAGAAGTTGCCACACTTTTGTGGCACATATATTGACATACCTGTGGTCTCCCCGTAAAATACACAAGTGGAAAACACAGCGAGAGAGGAGTTTTGGTTCACGTGTGCTCATTTAGGTACATTTTGTTTAAAACAAATTCAAAAAAAAAAAAAGTTGTTGTCATTATGACGGTGTAACATCTTCACCGGGAACAGCCTGGACATCATTACCACGTAGGCCTCCAGCTGATGTCGGATATGATGGGCCTGTGTCATAGCAGTGGTGGTAATAACATAACCACAGAGTAAACCTATGAGCCATTTCAGAGCAATTCTAATTACATCTACCGCTGACCTCAGGAATGCTGTGCCCACTTTGCTCCGTATTTCATTCTTTTTACTACATGTTACGGTTTGTGGTGTATCCAAAGAGGTGTTAGCCTTGCTTCCCCCTGGAACACGGTTTCGTGTGTGGGTGGGTGTATGTTAGTGTGTGTGGGTGTGAGTATGGATTCATCTCTGCTGTTGAAGCTCACCTGTTATGACCAAGGGAAAAGTCATACGCGTTACATCAGAGCCCCTTGGTGAGTTGTTTATATCCCTCCAAACACATGCGGCTATAATGTGACGCCCACACTGAAATTTGAAGGATGCGTCATCATCCTGTTCTGATATGTCGAGCTTCTTTCTCAACGACGTCCACATGGTATCATTTCCTCCAACTTGCCATACTACTTCCAGTAACAGCCAACATGTAGATCTGAAACAATGTTGTGATGAAATCCAGTGCTGTGGAGTGTTTTGGAGACCACCCACTCTCTGGATCGCGCCACTGGATTGTAAACATCTCCATCCCACAGCTGAAACTAATAGATATCAGATCCATCACTCCATCAGAAAATATCTGCCTCACACATTATTTCCCAGAGTTGTTCTGTTACATGACGAGTCTTTCAAAATTTCCACATGTGCGCAATAGTTGACGATAGTTTATTATGCTGACACAATAGCCAGTGCATCAGCCTTTTAGTTTATACTTTTAAATTACAGATGATGTTTTATATATTTCTTGGGAAAGCTTTTTGCTTTTAATTGCTTATCTGGAGTAACGTGTTCTTTAGGAGCAAAATAATCTATCTGTCAGGGAACATATCACTGCTGATTATAACTCACTAAAGAGCCTTTATAATAAACAGCAATTAATAATAATTAGGCAATGTTTAGAAGTTTTGTTTCATGCAGTAGAAGTGTTTCCGAGATTATTTGTGGATGTCAGGTAAAGACAATGATGTCCAGAAAAATCCCCCAAAAGTTCTGAGAAACGTCTGCGATCACCAAAGCCACTTTCTTTGAGTCATTCGAGGCAACAGTAATGTAAAACTGCAGGCAAGTGTAGTGCAAAACAACAGCGTTATCCAAGTACTGATCATCAACAACAAATCAGCAGAGTTAGGAAGTTGTGTAAATGCTAATTGTCCCAAATTATTCCTGGTGAATTGTTTCACTTCCTCATCATGAACTCTGGCTTCTCTGTGGGCTATGCGTGTGGTCTGGCCCATATGTACTAGGAATCACAGGGAGAAACCGGACAAGCAAAATATACAGTAAGATTCTCTGCAAAATATAATTCCAGACATAATTATGAAATATTGATCCCTGATGAGTTCACTATTATATTCAAAAAGCTATTGAGGGAATGTCTAGTCGTGGTTTTTAAAGTCTCTGGGAGCATTTATGCTGGGAAAATAGGCGCTTGTTGTTTCTCTGCCTTGACATTTGACAAGGTAGGTAAATTAGCTTCGGTTTGGGTTTGTGCTGAAATATCACACTGCACAAGTGAAAATGAAGTCAGTCAAGTGCGATAATGGGGCTCTATTACATTCCTAACCTTGACTCAAATGAAGTCCAATTGTGCTGTTTGAGGCTTGGAGAGCAACCAGACCACGGCCAGTTTCACATCAGCTTTTCAGGTGGCTCACTTACAGAAACAAGAGTGAAATACCTTTTTTTATTACCTTTGGCCAGCTACCTGCTTGTTTATCATGGAAAGTTGGATAGTTATGATGGAAAATTGCTTGAGCATTTATGTGCTGTCGTGTGTTACAGCATACCATGTAAATTCAGTAAAGATGAGAATGGAAAAGTTGCCTTTTCATTTCATTTCTCCGGCTCATTAGGAACTTCTGCAATAGCCACCAGGACACACCTAATTAAATCACCTGTTCAGAGAACCTTTGTTAGCTGAAGAAGAACGTACCAACAACAAGCTCAGGAGATTCATATGGCATCTATTCCCCAGAATGCTAAGCTTAACATCTTATAAACAAACAGATGGCTTAAATGAACTGACACCGTGTTTAGCGGACACTCTAGTGGTGTATAGCATACGCTTTTGCTGGTACGAGACACACAAACATTGTTGATGCTCTATGTGTATTATGGCACTCTGTAGTTTCATTCATGCAGACAGACATACAATACCTTTACACAACTATACAAAACATGTAAAAGCCATGGACTTTTCTACATAACAGAACAATATAGTGACCTTGATGTCACCCACTGGTTTGTGGACTCTGCATTTAAAGTTTGGGGTGTAGCTTTATGGCTGACACCAGAGGCGGCTACATTTGAGCGAGAAGTGAGGGTGCTATGTTTTCTATGCTATGGACTGGTTAGCAACATTTACTATGTATGGGTGAAAATGCCCCTACTCAGATATTTTCTGATTAATACTAAGTAACACACAAATGAAATGCTTACATTTCCATCCTTCCATTTTCTTCCAATTATTTAATTCGGGTCACGGTTGGGTTACAGCCTATCCCAGCTGTCATAGGGCGAGACGTAGGTTACGCCCTGCACGGCTCGCCAATCTGCTGCAGGGTTACTTGAATTTCACTCACCAGATTTCTTGGATGAAGAATCTGTGCAATCAGGCAGCGCACTGGTATTTGCATTAAACTAACTGCATTAAATAAGCTCTAGAAGCCATGAGCACAAATAACACTGTCAAGATATCCAGGTTAGCGGCTTCCAATAGCTGGGGTGACTATCAGACATAGGTTTTTTTGTTTGGTTTCTTTGTACCAAGTATTTTTTAAAATGTTTTAAAAAGGTATAGTGATATTCTTTAGTGTGGTGTGGGGGGATTAACTTGCTTTATGGGTCAGTCTCAAATGGGTATTTGAAGAACTTTGCTTCTGTGTTAACTCAATGTCTCAACTCTGGATTTCCCACTTTACCCAACTCATAACATTTAGTCATTAAACTGAAACATCTAGATGATGTATTTGTACTGTCTCTTTGACAAACATGTTAAACTCCAGTAGCTTGAGTGATTCACACATGGTTTATGGTCTCTTTGTAGCACATTCAGTGGTTCTGAGACTGTATTCAGCAACCTATTGCTTACATGGTTTCTTTATTGTAAACTGTAACTGTAACTTCTTTCCTCATTGTATCAATACCCACTTAGATTTGAATATACTCTTCATTCCTCATGGAGAATGAGTGACTCAGTGACTCTTCCTTTCCAATCATACGAGCAAACCCAAAATTTTTATGTTGAGGTTTATGCAGGAAATGATTACATTTTTTTTTTCCTATGGTAACACTGATGTTTGATGTTTGACCAGGCAAATGTATGACAGTTCATCCAGTGGTTCTTAAACAGAAAAATAGAAATAAAAATGTAATGGTGGTTCTTGAGGAAAAAATCAGGAGGATCCAAAGTTAGATGGCAAAAGTCAGGAGCACTGAAGCAAATTCAAAAAGACACTGATTGGGTCAAGGGCATAAAAAACACACTCTTAATGATCAGGACTGATTACCACGACTTAATGCAACAACTGCTTAATGAAACCAGACAACATCAAAGTTTGCCAAAACATCTGCAGTTACCACAAACACTCCACTACAACAAGTCATTTGAAACTAAGTAGCTAATTGTACACATGTGTTCCTCTAGCAACATCTATATTTTGTTAGCTGCTCAGTGATGTAATCCTAAACACTTATGTACTAATGCTGTACCATGGAGGTTTATCCTGAAACATGCAGAGTGGAAAAACATCGCCGGGATGCCTGCTGTGATTCACATATGATTATAAGCTGTGCATATCTTCATGTTCTTAGACGTACAAGGTTTATTTTGTCAAAGACAGCTTTGACCATCACTAATGTTGATTGTGTGTGTGTGTGTGTGTGTGTGAGTAATGCACAAGTTTTGCGACACATGGCATCAGACAGAGTATGTCTGGAGGAAGAGAGAGTCTTCGATGGGTGGGACTGAAAACAAGTGACGCATGACTAAGAGGCCCAGGAAGTTCCAGCAGGCGGCTGTTATTGCTGAGTGTCTGCATGTGTGTGTATTTATGTGTGTATGTTAGTGTGATTCTGGGGCCCCGGGGAACAGTGTGGGGCAATCCTGGCGGGAATGTCTGGAAAAACTTGATGGAGTGACAAAAGCAGCAGTGTCCCTTGCACCATATCTGTCTGCTCCCTTGGCTGCGACACTGTCTGCTGTCTTTTTGAGTTCAATATAAATTAAGCTATTAAAAGTAGGTCATAAAAATACCAAATATTGTATTTAGGAGTTACTTCATGTGAATGTAAGCGTGCAGATTAATCAGACTTTAAAAAAAAAAAAAAAGGTCTTATTAATGAATTAATTAAAAGTCTGACTTAAAAAAGTAAAAGCTGCTTTATCGCAGCTCCATGAAGAAACAGACTAAATTATTTTCACCTATTGCAAAGTTTTAGGGTAAATATCCAGTGTTTAAAAGCAACTTTAAACTTCTATACCTAAAACTATGATGTAGAAGGTCTCTTGGTAGTTGTTTTCTGCTGCCCACATGACCTCATTCTGACCCACAGTCACTCAGTCCCCAGATTGCATTGCTACAATGAGCATTCAACTGCAATGGCAGTGACGCACTGGGTTCAGGGAGACAATAGCTTACCTCAGTCTGGCAGACATAGCAAACCTCGGTGCTATCAGACTCTCTCTAATCTCAGCCCATGGGACAGTCGTGTCTTTCCTGCTCCCACATGGCCAGATCAGACACAACATCAACCTAGAGAGCACATTAGGAACTAACTTGGTTACATTGTTAGCTTTGCTGTGTGGCAACATCCAGCATTTTTTCCCCAGTGATTCACTGTGTCATACTTTAAGCTATTGATTGGTTTACTGACTTTTTTTTGCATAACACATTTAGAGATATACATGGTTATTTGTTGTTTGTGCAAAATAGCAAACACTAAACACAAAAAATACCCGAGGCTGGGTGCATATAGGCCTGCTGTTACCAAGAGCATGAAAGCAAATGTTTTCATGTAAAAATCAGGCCAGAAGGGTTTAGAAACCTGATTGGCCAATGGCTGGTCAGATGGGAACTCCTACTTGCTGTCAACATGTGATGTGACTCCAGACTTATGTGATATGTTTATAGCCATGAGTCTGCTGTTAAGGTAATCTCATTAAGGACACCAGTGTATAATAAAAATATTGCTTACATTTTAGCTGACAACCTCAAAAATAAAAACAGACCTGAAAACAAAATGTAATCAATCATTTTGCTCTTCAGCCCTTATGGAACTATGTGCTGTCTGAGACCCTTCACTGCTATCTCAGGGCCACCAGATTGATGAAGAATTTAAAACAACACAACATTTTTCCTGTGTGAGCGACTACTTATTTTACTGTCTTCTGTTTGAGGTTTGACACTTGATGATATTCCAATGACTGCTGTCAAACACTGACACATGAAAAATACAAAATCCACAGTTGATGAAATAGTTTTGTTCAAAAACAGATGCTACAAAACCTTTAAACACTTGGAGCATGCCTGTTGGCTCATAAGGTGGTTGACAGTAATCCAATGGAAAAGTAGCATGTGTCAAAATAAATCTAGTGTGCTGCCAAATTGCAAAAACACATCTCTGGTTGTCATGTGAAGACGGTGAGCAGGGGGGCAATGAACCTGCAGGGATAACACGAGTTCAGTGGAGACACTGTGTGGTGATACAGATTCACTGGGGGTAATTATATTGACCAGTCTCCAGTTCCTTAAGGCTTTTAAGCTAACATATTAGTATGAATCCTTATTTACAACAGGCAAAAACTAAACTGCATATTTATTATTTATCATGGGACAGAAATGGGAAACTTATCAAGAGTGAGTAGTATCTTTAGTCACTGGCTACACTGTGAAATACCCTCAAGTCACCACTTGATACACAAAAGCACCACCATGTGGTGGCATTTTGTAAACCACATGTGTGATTTTTTTTTAAAGCACACATCCTAATTGTAATACATACATATATATTTAATAACCAATAACTGTCAGATATATTCAAACCAACTGCCATAATGATATTTCAGGAGCTCATTCCTAGCATTCTTCATGAAACTATACAATAACTCTTTTTTTGTGTGACAGGCATAAGATTTCACACTCATATTTCTGTATCATACCTTCTTGTAGCTGTTTGTCATATTTATTGTGTACATACTATTTATTAATTCAATTTCTTTTTACTCTCTAACTTGTGTTTTTGCTTATTTTTTGTAATCATTTTTGTATATACAATTTTTTAATACTTTATCCCACTGCTGTAATGCAATAATTTGCCTTGTGGTTGTGGAATCTATCTATCTATCTATCTATCTATCTATCTATCTATCTATCTATCTATCTATCTATCCTGTCAGTAAGGGAAACTGAATGTTGAGGTTTACCAATGGCAACATTTATGGCACCATCTACAGTCACTATTAACTTATTTCTATCTGTGTTATTTTTGTTTTTATTTTTGTATTTTTTATGGCAAAGTTTTTATATGACAGTGTCAGCAGTTCACTGTAATCTACAATGTTTACGTCTAATATTTTTTGGAATATCGAAGTCCAGTAACATGAATCAATTGTCCCTGTTAAATAAATAAAACTTAACAAATCCATGTAATCTATTACAAAATATTAAACTGACTATAACATTTCATTGCATTCTATATCTACAATAGCTTTATTAAAACCTCACATTGTAATATTAAGTGTTTATGTTCACTCACAAGGTCGGCGTCATTTCTAGCAAGTTCGCGTGGTGTCCTGATTGTCCTTTTCGGTGCTCCGTAGTTTTTCCTCTTTACCTGTTTAGTAGCTAATGATGGCTGAAGCTCCTCCATGGCCCAGCCGGTTTTTCTGTCATAGATGCTCAGCAGAGATCAGTCCTCGGCTTCCCGTAAGTGTAGTGGATAAAAATTGTAGAGAATAAAATTTGGACAAACGGAAAACGCGATGGCATCGGCGGTACTTTCTTATGTATTGTTTTAGTAAGAGGACAACAATTAGCATGCTAACGGTATTAGCAGATTCCTACGATGTAGCGTTTATCTCGCCAACCCTGCCCAGTTAGTTAGCTACTCTAAATAGAGGATCGGCTGTTATACAACGTCAAACTGCGTAAGCCTCGCTGACAGATGGATTTCTAATTTGTAATATCTTTAAAAAAATGTTGGTCCTTATTTGATGGGATTTCGATGGGTATTAGCCTGACCGCTAGCTACACTTACTAGCAGTAACTAACGGTAGAATTGGAATCTTTATAATTATAGACTTCGGGACTTTCTTATATCGGAAAATTCTTTTCAAACTGAACAGTTTTTTTTTAAATCGCTTGTGTGCATGTTTCTGTCAGTCCGGCTGAAAGCATCTGTCACAGGATGCCGTTTAGAGTGTCAAATATCAGCTAACGGTTTGTGTAGGGTGGTGAAAATGACTTGAAATGTGCCGTAGTGTATGTCTCTAACATGTGAACAACTAGTGACTTTTTATTCTTGGCTTTTTTTGAAGGACATAATTCAAGTGTAACTGGTTGCAGTTGCTATTCATTCCACTAGTGTTAGTTGATAATATCGAAAATTGTTCATATTTGTTTTGGTATTACTGATATTATATAAATGTATATTACATTGCAATATATACATATTACGATGGATTATATGTAAGCTATATAAACGTATGTGATAAAATTTCATTTTGACCAGTCAGACTTCCACTTCTGTTTTTGATGTCTTCTCAGTTAACTGAGATAAAAACGGGGCACAAGGGACAGGAAATATCTTGAACAGTATTGGGTAATGCAAATTAAACTTTACTGAAAATGTGTAGGGAATGATTTTATTCATATTTTTCCTATTAGAAATAGATTTGTAAATGCGATTTTTTATTTTTTGTAACAGATGTTATGAACTTCGTTAATCGTTTTTGTAAACCGTGACAAATGCATGTAAAAAACTTAAAGGGAACTCCGGCTATTAAGACATGTTTGCGCTAAAATATGTACTGTGCTTTCAATAAAACATATGTGATATTAAAATACACCAAATGTTTTCCTTTTAAGCACATTTTATATAAAACCGATTTACCAGTAGGTCGCCATTGTTATTTACTTCTCAATGCACTCTGGGTAGTGATGTCATACGGTTGCACCGCATCCAGTTAGCAGCACACTGGAAATGGCTTCTGTTCAACCTTTCCAGTTTGAACCAGAGCAAACCGAGAGAGAGAATGGAAATAGTCAACCAGCACTTAGTTTAGATGAAGATGAAAACAATCCGCCACACGAGGACGAGAGAGTGACGGAAAACTACTGGTGCCTATGCGGCTACTGCTTGCCAATGGCAACGGCGACTTAATCCAGATGTTCTTTGGGGGGCCCTTGTTAGCCTCCATGACCGGTATCCGGTTTTCAAGTGATAACATTATAACAACACAACATTATGAATCGTGCTTCCGGGCCCAAAGTAGTCTGCATTTAATAAGACTGTTGTGTTTTTAACACGTTTCAATGCTTTGCATCTTATTCGATTTAATCTCAACAATCCCCTAAAAACAGTCAGTGATCACTGTCGGCTTCTCACGGTTTTTATTACCGCTAATCACTTTAAAGCTCAGTTTTTAAACCCTTACGATGTAACTAGCCCAGCCGATGCAGCAGCAGTATATTAATGACTAACCTTATATTGTGGATGGATACGGTTGCTACACTTTAAAAAACAAAACAGGTTAGCTGAACGAAAGCACCTATACTACCGACAACCAATACACGTCATCGTCCCAGAATGCATTGTGTCCAAAAAAAACATGGCTGCCCCCACGGCTCCAAAATAGTTTAAAACAAAGATTTAATGAATAACAAAAAAAAATTGTAGTTATTCTCAATTCTCAAGTATGTTTTTATGTGGTGGACATAATTTGTAGCATATTTAGAGTAACTTGTAATAACTTGTAATAATAGTCGGACTTCCCTTTAAAAAACTAAATAAATAAATAAATATATATATATATATAATTATTATTATTATTATTATTATTTTAAGCTGACCTGAAACAGCTCACCTAGGAGAGATCCTACTGCAATGCTCATCTACCTTAGCTAGCTTGTTTTTGATGTGGAGGAGTAGAGGCTTTATTATAACCCCTACTTTAATGACTGAGCTCCTCATCCTGTCTTAAAGGCTGACCCAAGCCACCCTTCGAAAGAAGCTAATTTACGCCTCTTGTACGCATGATCTTATTCTTTCAGGCTCTATACCCACGTGTAACCATACACAAGTTAATATATTTATTTTTCCTTTTAGAAACAACAGCAGCACGTAGACTGCACTAACACGTCCCACCACATTAGAATCAAATACATTTAAACAACTGTTTTATTTACAGTCCATCACACTTTAAACGAAAGTAATCGGTGAAAATACTTGCAATTGATTTTCTTTTTTTTTAACCAAAACCCTGAAAGTAAGCTTTTCCAGTCTAGGTTATGTAGCCTGTGGAGTCACTTGCAAATATATGTAAGATTTAAATGACAAGCAGTTATGTGATCATTTTTTGATTAAAGGTTAAAGTTGCCTTTGGTCTGTTTTCAGTCTTCTTTTTTTTCTGGATAGCTTGAATGAAAAATAAATTGTATTAATCAATGCTGGCTGCAGATGCATTAACTCTTACAGTTAAAATAGTATGTAGCATTTGCAGATAAATCAATTTATCTCTTTGTAAATTGTGAGTGAGGAAGCAAAGAAAGTATTTTGTAGGGAATAATGTTACATGAATGGCAATAATTATTACACTTGGCAAAGAATGTACATCTTGTTATTAGAATTGAAAGGTTTTTTTTCCTCACAATCAGAGAACAACATTATGTGTTTGCTCATACTACTGTCTTGTTTTACAGGAGTATACATGTCCAAGATGTGAGTCAGGGTTTATTGAAGAACTGCTGGAAGAAAGAAGGTGTGTAAAAAGTGTATATTAAACACAGTTTAACCCTGTGTAAAACAAATTTAGTAGTTTTTGTTGATATATGTCTGTATATTTCCTATTTCTCAAAAGGAACAAAGAAATAAATCACATCATTTCCTAAAGGGATTTTTAAAG